ATTCATTGTGATTTACATAGTGGTAATATATTATTGCAAGGAGGTGGTTGTTATATCACAGATTTTGGATTATGTGGTCCAGTTGATGAAAAATCATCAAATAAAATTTATGGAATTGTATCTTATATTGCACCAGAACTATTTAGAAGAAAAAAATACACAAAAGAAACTGATGTTTATAGTGTTGGGATGTTAATGTGGGAAATATTTGCAGGTCATCCACCATTTGATGATGAGGCACATGATATTCATTTGCAATTAAAAATATGTGAAGGTTTACGTCCACCAATATTACCAGGAATGCCTAGTGATTATGTACAATTGATGCAAAGATGTTGGGATGAGGATCCAACCAAGAGACCAACTATCAAAGAGCTTTGGGATTTTGCACAATATAAATTTAAAACTGAAAATCTTAATGAAAGTAGTAGTAGTAATAATATTAATAATAGTAATTTACAACAAATTCACAAATCACATCCATTAGCATATCATACAAGTAGAATATTAAATGATGAATTTGCTAAATTGGATTTAAGTAATGATAGCTTATTAAATTATGAAATATAATTTAATAAGGGTTAGTAAATATATTTAACAATGAGCACAAGCTATGCGGGGACCAGTCAAAACTGTGCTAAATATACAAAGGAGTAAAGCCTGATGAACTGAGGCTAATGAACAAAAAAGCAAAGCCCAACACACCACAATATCCTAATGATGAAATTCAGGTTACAGAATTGTAAGTTGATCAATATTCATTACAAGGTACTCAAGGATTGATAAAGTTACTTGTATTTTTAAATAAAATTCAAAATATATCATATATATATCATGCTAAAGACTATGAACCAAAAGAAAATGGTAAATTAAGACACTTATTAAAGATTGCTTGGCATAAGATAAATTGGAATTAAAATGTGATGCACAAGTAATGCTTATTAAAAACATCAATAAAGATTTAGTTAATGGGAGTAGAAGTATTATTGTTGATTTTTATTCAAATTCTACTAAAAAAGTTATTATGATGGTGAAGATGAGATTGTGGAGTTTGGCCAGAAAGATGAAATGTTGCCAATAGTTAGATTTGTTGAAAATAAAAAATTGTTTGTTTGTGAAGCTGAGTGGAAACTAGAAACTGTTGATAATGTTGTATCAGCAAGTAGACAACAAGTAGGTATTTTTGTATTTATATGTATGTGTATGTTTTTTTTATAATATATGTATGTATTTATTATATATTTAATGTAATATTAGATTCCTCTTATACTTGCTTGGGCAATTAGCATTCATTAAAAGCCAGGGCCAAATACTGGAAAGAGTCAAAATTGATTTGAAAGAGGTTTTTGAAAAAGGTATTTATATACATATTCATAACAATGATAATATAACTATTATAATAAATTAATAAATTATTATGTTTTTTTTTGTAAATATGGCAAGCATATGTTGCTTTGTCTCAAGCTAAATCTTTACAGGTTTTAAACTTCACAAGAGAAAAGATAATGGCTGATGAAAAAATAAAGAGATTTTATGAGTCATTAACAGATCAATGAATTGGATTTTAAATGCTTATTTATTTAAAACTTCATATTATTATTTTTATTGATATTGAATTTTTTTTTGAGTAATTAACTATTTTTTTAATGTATACATTGGATAATTAATATAATTGTATTTATTCTTTGCACAAGAACAAAAGATTATGATTTTACATACATAATCTGCATACCCTATATTATTAATATTGTGAGGTTGAAATCTGCTTCTAATGGTGAATCTTGGTATTTTATTTTAATTATTATTTTACTTAAATTTATACAAATGTGATTGAATGCTACTTGATATTTTAATCTCAATTGCATTTGCTTTTCTTGTTGATTTTTTTAATAGCTCTTTGTCTATTAATCCTTGAGAAGGAATTTTATTCCTCCTTCTGGTAATGTTTTCTTTATTATCTGCCTGAGCCAGCATATCTATAATATATTTGTACTATCTGCCTTGGTATGTTGGGCTTTGCTTAGCCTCAGTTCATTAGGCTTTATTCCTTTGTATATTTGGCATAGTTTTGACTGGCCCCTGCCTAGCTAGGATTTCATTATCCTTGTTGTTGTGTCCATTGTTTAATATATTTACTAACCTTCCAAGTTTGGAAATTCATGCTAGAATCCAATTTTATATTAGCTAGCTCTTCATTCTCCTTAGTAACATCATTCACCATCTTCAGGAATGTTCTCTAAAATATGGTGGTTTTGGTATGGATTTGCTTTCACTTTCAGAATCACTTGATAGGTCAAATTAACATTAGAATGTTGTAAATGCATTATTACACATACAAAGAAACAACATTCTTTTCAGATGGGGAAATAGTAAATTTTATGACTGTACACCAATATAGGAATGGGCCTTCCATCATTTACCTTGATGGTGGTAATAAAGAGATGAAAATATGGGAAAGGAAATTCTTTTTTTAGCCTTGTCACACAGCTTTTACCTCAAGCTCTTGGTTGATGGATTTATAAATTTCAGTGTCAAAAGATTCTCCTCTTCAATAATCTGTCATTTTTTTAAATTAACTTTTTTATTTAAAAACTTCAATTGTTTTTTGACAAAATAAATCTTTCAAAAAAAATCAATTTTTCAAATAATCTCATCTAAAATTTTGACACATGATAATACACATCATTGTTTTGATGTCAGTCAAAAAAAAATTGCTAGGGGATTGACAAACCTAGGCTATGAAATGTTTTTTTTTGTCCATGTGTGTATATGTGATAAAATAATAAATGATTGATAGAGTTATAAATATTTATTAATCTTATTTAATTTTATTTGAAGAAAAAACATTATACAATCTTTTGATGATGATGATGGCATTTAAATATTAATGGTATTGTCAGCCAACTAATGAATTTAATGGTTTAGCCAGTCAAAGAACTTTTAAACAGCTTAGCCAGCTGATAAATATATTATTTCTTTATTTTTTATCAACCAATTCATTTCATTACCATTCATTTGCTCCAATGCCCATGGTAAATTAATAATAAAGAAAATAATGGTAATAGTGAACCATTAGATAATGATCCGTTGAATAAAACAACAACAACAATATTTATCGGCTGACATTACTAAATTTAATTTCCTGAAATTTCTTTTGTTTTAGCCTTCAATACATCATCAATCTCTTTAACAGATTTATCTACAAATAACTGAAGCTAATAATATAAATTTTTTTTTTACAAATTAATAAATATCCAAAAAAAATTTATCCAAAAAATAAAATATATATTAAAAAATACCGATTTTTCCAATAATTTAATTTGATCACTTGAAATATTTTTTTTAGAATCCTTCTTTAAATCTTTCATTCCATCTTGTCTAATAAGTCGAAGTTTTATTTTGGAATTCTCGGCAATTTTTGATGCAACTTTTGTTATGTCTTCACGATATTCTGTTGTTATTCTTGTTAAAATTAAAGTAA